ACCTCTTTCTCAATTTGTTTCAATTCTTTATTCTGCTCCCCCAGCTGCCGAAAAATGTTACCAGTAGCTTCATTTACTTTTTGCTGAACATCCATATTGACTTATAACAATTCGTTATCTACCCTCTCTTGAAGTGTGTTCACATTCTCCTCTACTGTCACAATAGTACTACGAATTTCAGCATTTTCGGCGCCTATGCTTTCTCGAACTTCCGTGACAGTCTGTCGTACTTTAAAAATTTCCGAGTCTTGATACTCTGACAATTGTTGAATTTTCAAATTTCTTTCTTCCCTCTCTTTTTCACATTCTTGTCTGGCTCCACTTAGTTCTCTTTCTACCATATTTTCGCACTGCCTGACCTCTTTTCTTGTTCTGGAAATTTCCTTACTAACTTCTTTGATTTCCTTATCAACTTTCTCTGACAATTCTTGCCTTAATGCCTCGTTCGCCTGACGGCACTGTAACATGGCCTGCTCTATGCCCTTTTGTAAATCTTCCTTCAACTGCTTCTGCCCCTCCTTCATTTCTCGAAATTGCCTATCTGAATTTTCTTGAACTTGCTGAAGTTGCCTCTCTGATTGTTCCCGGGCCTGATGTACCTCCCCCTTTATTTCCTGTACTAGCTGATGGGTGTTTTCCCTAGTTTCTCGAGCTTGTTTCTCTAAGTTTGCCCTCATCTCCTGAACTTGTTTACCTGAATTTGCTCGGGCCTGTCTCTGTTCTTCCTTCATTTCCTCAAACTTTCTGTCTGCCTTCTCTTGGGCTTGTTCCTGAATTTCTTTCGAATTTTCTTTCATTTCTTCAACTGATTGTACTAATAACTGTTGCATCAAAGCCATTATATCTTTCATGGAGGGTTCTGAACTACCATTTTCACTACTACCACTTCCTTCTTCAGGGGTGTTCTGAGGTGGGTCCGGGACCTCCGTTTCAACGACCTCCTGACCATACTGTGCCTGACTTTCTTCCCCTATCGGCACTAATTCGCTTCTCTCTCCCACCCATTCGGCTAATTCTGGGGATTCTTCCCTGGAGCCTAGATCCATTTCCTCCTCAAAATTTACCCTTACAGTTCTACTCCTCAAATCTTTCTGGGACATGTNTGGAAAAGTGGGGAGATTTTGGTAAAGGTGAGTTCTTTCACTCAGGGTTCACGTGTCACATGAGGAGGGGTACCGTTGTTAAATGATGTACAGACTATCCCTTGGACGACTTCCACTTTATTACACCTTAATTTTTTTTACTCTCAAAACAATTACACCGAGTTAAGACTTTCATATGGGCTCATGGCCCCGTAAATGGCTACGCGGGTGGGCTGGGCACCCTCGGACACACCTAACTTCCTCGAAGACCTGGTAGTGAGTGAGTGTGAAAAATTACAGTATTGATAACTAAGCTTATGACTACTTGCCCCCACACCACTAATTCCAAGGGGGGAATTACCGCCCCACAAGTACCTCCGGCTTGGTTCTTCTACCGGGGCTTTCGTGATTGAACAATAGCGCCTGGCTAATAACAACCATATCATATACCATTCTTGCTAAGACATTCAAAACTAATGTCGGCAATTTCGCCTCGCGATAAAGTCCCGTGATGTTATTGATTTCGTCATCTCTTCTATGTGGAGAGACGGCTTACATCCAGCTGCACCCTTTCTGTGGCGTAATTCTTTATCCAAAGGGGCCCTATAGGGTTATCTACAATCAGTAATACAACGTTTAACCTTAATTGGAGTAGCTACAAGCTCCGTCCGGCTTCGAACTCGGTTCGGCTACACAATTCCTGGCTTTCACCAGCGTCCTTGTTCTGTCACACACTCAAATTTCCGTGATTGGTCAGTTTAAAATTCAGAGGTATTCTAATTAGACATTCCTCCAATCACTTAACTCTTACAAAGGGGTGAAGAAATTCTGTCTTAACGAACTCCTGTCAAAAAAGTGACGAATGTGTGGAGTGGCTTGGGTCGTAAACCAATAACCCTGCTAAAATATATAGCTTGTAGAAAATTGTCAACTAAAAAAACTCACAAAGACTTCTTTGACCCATAAATCTTCAACAGGTATCTTCCTGCTTTTGTTGTAAGCGTGGGAAGACGCTAGCTCTTAAATACATGAATTGACCTAAGTCTCACTACACTTTTTCATGTCCTTATATTCAACAATTAAATTTCAAATTAATAACAAATCATATTTAAATAGGTAGCACGGCAGTGGAATGGTTACATTTCTCTCAAGCGAATCTTGGTTCTGTCATGAAATAAATGAACCCAAGAATCGTCCAGTTTGCTGGTAAACGATTATTCTTCTTGCTAAATGCAGCTTTTGCCATGGCAATCCTGGATTTAATTTCACTAGTACACCTTCCATCATCTGTTAACAAGCTACCCAAATATTTAAAACATTTCACATTCTCCAGTTGTTTTTGGTCTATCTTTATTGTGACTGGGGTTGGTTGTCTCGAAATTTTCATTACTTTTGTTTTTCCTCATTCATTTCCATGCCATAGCACCTTCCAATTTCAATTAGTCTATCAATCATACCCTGTAGCACAGTTTCTTCCTTAGCCATTAACACAAGGTCATCTGCATATTTCACAGTTTGAAAAATTTTTCCCTCCTAATTTGAATCCTCCGAGCCCATCCAGAGCTTCCTTGGTAAGGCATTCGCTGTACAGTTGAACAGAATTGGTGATAAACAGCATCCTTGTCGAACTCCTCTTCCAATCTGCACACTTCCTGTCTCCCCTCTGTCCAGTCGTACTCTAACTTTCTGATCCATGTA